CCCTCTCTCTCTGGTGAACGCACATGCCCTATAGCAAATTTTAAAATAATAATAATAAATAAAATGAAATAAATAATTCTAAAAAAACTTTCAATTCTAGGAAGATTTAGAATTAAACAGAAAATTTTAGTAGACTCAAAGCCATATCTTTAATACTTTTATTATTTCTTTAATTGATAGTTCAAGTAATTATTTAAAGTAATTTGACCTAGGTAGCAGGCTAGCCTATATTTCCAAATTAAGATGTGAAATGAAATAATTGATTAAGATTTTTTATTTTGGGAGGGAGATAGACTTCTCTTTAGCTTTGTAAGTGACAATGGAGCATTAAGGAGAATTTATTAGGTTTCTAAGTGGCTTAAGGGGAGGTTTTATAAGTTAAAGCAGACAGTTTAGTTACTAAAAAGAATTAAACACAGGCCGAGTACCCCTTACTCAAAATATTCGGGACTAGCAGTATTTCAGATTTCAGTCTTTTGGATTGTTTGTTTGTTTGTGGGGATGGATATCTTCCCAGCGAGAGAGTACACATGACGCATTGGGGGTGGGATGCATGTCTGGACATAAGATTCACTTATGTCTCATATTAATTTTATAGCTCTAACCCAAAGGTAGTTTTGTACACTTGGTATGCAGTGATTTGACTGTAACCTACCTCATGAGGGCAGGTGTGGATTTTCCCCTTGTGGCATCATAAGGGTGCTCAAATGTTTCAGATTTTGGAATATCTCAAATTTTGGATTTGGGGTTAGGGAGATGCCTAACCTTTCATTACTATTCATGGCTAGAAACAGTATGAAAGCCACAATGCAGGCTTTTGGTCTGAAAGCAAAAATACAGACTTTGAAAAGGATCTTGCTCATCTGGAGAACAGGGACATGGCAGAGAAGATAAGCCTTCAGTGAAATGATGCCCACAAGCATGCTGCTCAGAACATGTGCTTGGAAAGGCCAGTTGTAGAAGAACTCATTTTTTCAAGTACTTGAATCAGAGCATGAGTCGACGTTGTGGAACTCTAAGGGATGCCACATGCATAGATGACAAGGTAGAGAGTCCACTGTGGCTCTCCTGGATACTGTTCTTCCTCATCCAACTAATGGCATTTAAAAATGAAGAATTAGTTGCATGGGTCATGTACCGCACCTGTCTGCTTGCTCAGAAAAGAAGCGAATTTGGGGAAGAGACATTTCTGCCGTCCGGGCAGGGTTCAGATGAAATTGCATGGCACGCAGACCCCGTATTTCTTTCATCTTTGCCACTCAGACAGCCCTACACAGGGGCACTGTGAGGCCCGAGCTGGAGGGTGCTTGGCTTGTCTGGAGATGTTGTCATTGAGGTCTGGCTTCTGGTAATTAGACACTCCTAGCTGGGCTCTGCTGTCAGGGAGCCTTTGAGACAAATTGCAAAATCTGTACAGCCATCTGAGAGATGGAGAAGTAGACCCAATGACACTACAGGGAATATTGGTAGTTCTCCAAAGTTCGAAAGAGAATGCTTAGAGAAGCAATCGTCAGACCTGAATTTAGAGGTTCTTTTCCTGCAGTTAAAGGGTAGATTTGATCTGAAAGTCAGAATCTGAGAAGATGCCAATAGGCCACTATATTAGGGTGATGAAACAGGATGAAATGGAATAGAAATAAATGTAAAGTTCTGTCCTTGGATCTGAAAATCCCAACTATGAATAAAAATCAAATACAGTGTTAGGCTGCATTAACAGAGACAGAGTATTTAGGATGAGGGAGGTGATAAACCGTCTCTACTGTTGTAGCAGGAACATTGCTATAAGCTCTGAAAGGAAAGTGGAGAGAGTGGTCACAGGATGGTATATGGGAGTGTTCCAAGGCTTGTCAGATAACAAAGGAAGGGGGGGGCTAGTTGATGAAAGCTGTCCTTACTACCTGGGAGGTGGTCAGTGCATCCAGGACCAGCCTCATTCTTATTTGTAAATATATGTTAAGATAGAATAAGCTGTTCCTTAATTCTGGAAGTATCTTAGGCTCCCTTCTTGGGACTTAGGCAGTTAGGGGTGGAAATGGATGCCCCAGAGGTTATTTCTGGCTCCAAGAGCCTATGATTCCTTTGCTGTGTGATAGTGACCATGTCCTGCACAGCCCTGACGCAGGCCGCCGTGGTCACACAAACATTTGGAGCTGCGAGGAGAGAGTCCTTAGAATTCTCAGACAAGATTTCCATCAGCACAGGCTTTCCTTGGTCCCCTCCCCATGGTCCGTTTTTCACGCTGCCGGGGGAGGTCTGGGGGATGTGGTCACTTCTCTCACCAGAAGCTGTGTTATTGTTCCTCATTTATTCTTCCCGTGTGCCCAGCAGGGTGCTGGGGGGGCTAGGAAGGTGTGGGGAAACAAGACAGTTTCTGCTCTCTCAGGTTTGCGGTCTGTGAAGAAGTCAGACAGCAAACACGCATACCCCAGCTCTGCAGTTGTGACTGTATCGAGGAGTTGCCGTTCGGCCGTGTACTAGCATGAAGGAACTCAGGGTATAGAACAAGGACACCAGACCCAGTGGTGTGGCTAGAGACTTCCCTCAGGTGTAACCTTGAGGCGAGGCCTTGAAGGAGAAGCAGCTGACTAGGCTCAGGGTGGGGGCACATGGACGAGTACCACAGTGGACCTCAGACTTGTTCTTGGCCCAAAGGGGTTCTCATTAGGACCGACCTGATGCAAAGCCAACCAAAGCAGCCTTGTGACATAGAGGTTTTCTGTTCACCGTATAGAATATGTATGACATTTTCAGTTTCTGATATTAGAGCAAGTTAAAGTAAAAAATACAGTCAGCAGAGAAAGACCCAGTCTTGTATCAATAGGTCCCCCACAACACACACACACACACACACACACACACACAAATTATACAAACTATAGTTTGTATTACCGTTTTTTTGTATTATAGTTTTATACTATAGTTTTTTGAAGTCACATTATCCTGGTGGGACAGGGGAAAGAGAGTTTTGTTTCTATTTTTAGACATTTTTCACCCAAAGCTTAGAAGAGTTTAAGTCATTTTTTTACCATGGATGTGATCTTATGTATAATCAGTCACCGAAAGGTGCAAAGACCACCTTTCCTGGTGTTAGCTTTTTATCATGGTCGGGCTTCTGTACCCTCAGCAGTTCATTCTCTGTGGCTAATAATTCTAACTGGAGTTATCTCTGAGCAGAAACTTGGATGAGACGGAAAGTGAATATGGAAAATGAAAGATTAGAACAGAACTGGGTGTATTTACTCCCAGAGGAACCTTGGTTATACTTGCTGCTTATTGGAGTGGCCGCCACTTAGGTACAAGCATTGCAAACATAAAATGGTACATTTTAAAAAGATACATCTCTGTCCTCAATTGCTGGTCAAAGTACAGAATTAAATGCTGTTTATCTTAGTTTTTCCTAGTAAATATTATTTTCTTTGCAAACCATTGTACTGTTTGATTTTTATAAAAATTAATAAGCTCATAGTTGCAATTTAAAACTTTTTGATTCTGAATTCTATGCCTAGGGGTGTGTGTGTGTGTGTTTGTGTGCGCGTGCGTGTGTTAAAATAACTCACCTTATTGTAAACTCTTCTTTTTTTCAGGTAGGAATGAATTGATAGCCAGATACATCAAGCTCAGGACAGGGAAGACGAGGACCAGAAAACAGGTAAAATAACCCACCTGGACATTGTGCATGTCAGCGAATGGCCCACGGAGGCATTTTGGCTGCAGTGGCTGGCTGTGCTTTGGCTCCTAGGAGCCCCCAATTTGAGTTCCCTGTAAGGACGTCAGTGTCTTAGGTGTTTTAAATTGGCTCCAATTTCACCATTTATCATTTCAGGGACCCTTTATTATGTGGTCCTCTGAGTCTTCTCAAACTCAAATGGGAAAGTTTTACAACTAAGGACAGTGTCTGAACTGTTCCTGGACTGTACTTAAAACTTGTGTTTCTTTCCCAAAATGCACACCTCCAAACATTACAAAAGATGCAGGTGCAAATATACTTGCAAGTCATGAAATTTTGAGATTTTGTGCAATGTAAAAATCCTGGAACGAATACATATTAGTCATCATTTCAATGAGAAAGTAACGCTAGCAGCTTTGACTGTTGGCCTGAATATAATACTGAATGATGTGCGTCCAGGGAACTGTTGCTTCTTCAGCGATGGCTTTTTGTCAGTAGCTGCTGTGACTGAAATGAAGTTACAACGTAAATACCTCTGTGCCCAGCAGTGTCAGGAATTCTCTGCTGGCTGCCCCTTGCCAGGGCGCTGCCTTCCCTCGTTCATTCAGATGTAAAACAGCCTAAATCTCTTGACCTGACCCAGTTCAGAATTGGGTTGGATGAGAAATTAGCAAAAACAGAAACAGAGGGGATGGAAAAGGGGAGGAAAAACCCCTCACGGGTGAGTTGTTAACAGAAAAAAAAATGTATTTGTTCATGTTGACCTACGCTGAATGGTACGGCACAGACCTTAAAAACCGTAGTCAAACAAACTGTGGTCTCCTTAAGACTGCAGCAGTTTTCAGTCCTCCCAGTGAGGAATTGTTTGCATGAGTGTCTAAAGGGAGAGGCCTTTCCCCGGAATGCTGTGTGCACCACAGCCTGGCTGCTGAGTCAGAGCAGGAAGAGAAGTGGCCTCCTGCCAGAGCAAGAGGCAGAGCATTGTCTGTTTGGGGGATGCTCCCCCCTGATAGTGGCCCCCCTCAAGTCAGAGAATCACTTAAGAACCAAATTCGGGTGAAAACAAGTAACAGCAGGAGCCAGATGGAGGGGTAAAGACGATGGGGGAGTTCCTGCTTCTCTGTAATTAAAAAAAAAAAAAGACAAGAGCAAATTAAAAAAAAAAGGGAAGAATTGAAAGTCAAAGATAAAAGATCTTTTATTATCGTCAATCCTGTTTTTAAAGTCACTAGAGAGTTTGAAATGAGGTCGTCACCAAGCCGTCTGAGATGCTGAACTTTTAAATGGAAGGTTTTACATTTCTGGAAGGGACAGTTTGGGTCCCTGCACATGCTGCAAGTCGGCCTGGGCTGTCTGCTGGCCTGTGAGCTCTGGTCATTTGCCCGGTGACCCCTTCACTTGGGGGACTTTTCTAAATTTAACCAAGTCTCACTGAAAGAGATGCAAATTTGTTTACCCGGTGGAATCGCTGTGTTTCAGAAGCCGGGGCTTGGCTATGATTCCACACCCTGGCATCCTGGGGATGTTTTTAGGCAGCAGTTGGTGATACCTCTCCAATGTGAATTCGTTGTTCAGCAAATCCGTGTGGTTTTCAACCCAGATTTTTAACAGGATGGCTGGCTGGCTGTATTCACACATTTCGCTTTGTAATAATATGCAAATCCACTTGGCATCCAGTCAATGCCCAAAAGAGTGGAAGGATTAAAGATATTTATAAAAGAGGGGAAGGATTAAAAATATTTAAAAGGGAAAAAAAAAAAAAAAAAAAAAAGCTGTGCTAACTGGGTCTCTCCATTTCTCTTTGAGATCTAATTTACATGTCAGTATTATTTTAACATTTGCTACAGAATCCAGAGCTCTTAATGAGATCGGAATACAACAGACAGCTTCAGCTTTTTGATTTTGCAGAATGTGCTAATTTATGGATAGTCTCTTCTAAATTGAGAAAAAAGGGATTTTCCCTCCTGATACTGAGAAGCTATAAATATTTTTATTTACCTCTACCCCTACCTTTTTAATTTTAGAAATAAAACAGCCCTATTTGCTCCCTCTCCTCCCTCCCCAAATTAGTTTTACCCAGTGCCTATGATTTCTCCTGAGTGAGAAAACTAAGAGGAGCCTAAAGTTTCGTCCTGAATCAAGTCACTGCAGCGATGACCCCGTCTGAAAAGCTTCAAGCAGCGCTGGGGGCTTGGTGCTGGCTGCAACTGTGTATTCCTAACTGCAGAGCTTTGTTGAGATGCAAATAACCCCCCCCCCATCCTCCCAAGGAGCAGAGATTTTATATTTGATTTCCTTTTTTTGTTTTGTTTTGTTTTGTTTTGTTTTGTTTCCCCTCATAAACCCGAACAATGTAGGTGTCTAGTCATATACAGGTCTTAGCAAGAAAGAAAGTTCGAGAAATTCAAGCCGCCATTAAGGTACGTCTGGCTTGCCCAGTTGTAGGGGGCTTTTCATCTCCATGGTTACAGGCTTTTCCTTTGTTTTCCTCCCTTCCCCTACCCTGCAGGTGTCTAGTCACATTCAGGTTCTTGCCAGAAGGAAATCTCGTGATTTTCATTCCAAGCTAAAGGTATGCGCTTTTCTGCTTTTTGGCTTGTGGTTGCTATGCATCTCACTTCCTGTTTTCCATGGTGACTGGTGAATGCCTGGTGCTGGGATCCTCGTAACCTAGTTTCCTCGCATGTGAGAGCTGTTTACATTTCTTTGTGTCTAATCTCTCTGTTTCTGTACTAGCCTCACATTAAACTCAGTGTGTGAGTGTGTGCGTGTGCGTGTGTGTGTGCGTGTGTGCGTGTGTTCCTAATAACAATGCAAATGCAGCAGAGAGCTGGTTTGGATAACTTTTCAGCACAGAAACATGAATTAAAATAAAAAATCTTTTAAATGCCCACTTTTCCTGTACCAGGAAAGCAAAAGAAAAATAAAGTTCAAAGAGTCAAAGTTGATATACAAATTAGACACAAATTATTATTTCCAGAGTCAATCATAAAATTACTTTAAAAAATATATTTCGAACTTATCTTGAAATTTGTGCTTTTGATGTATTTTCACGAGTACATCTGAAAATAACTGCTTTCTCATGTATGGCTATCAATTCAGAGAATATTTTCGGTCAGACTCATTCACATTGAGTAGTACTGTTTTACAGATCGATGAAGGGCTCTCATTTATTAAAAAGAGGAGTTTGAGAGTCAGCCTTAAACTGCAGGTGATTTTAGAACTGGGCAAGCTGTTGGTCGGTCAAACCCATGTTTGGCAGTTATCATCTGCACTTGAGTTTACTTAATTTTTTTATCTGCTTCATTTTCTAGTCTCAAAGTGTATTTTTCTTTTTTTCCCCTCAAAATGTATTTCATGGCGAAAATGGAGGCATTGATAAAATGAATACAAGTTCTCCCTACTTTTTCCCTTTGTAATATTTGCAGTAAAATGTATATGACTTAGTTTTCTATAATGCTTTCTTTTAGAAACACAAAGGGATTATTATAGTTTCAGGGAGGAGCTTTCATTTATAATAAATATTAATTTTCAGTCCATATTGTTGCCTTTCCCATGTGCCTTTTTTGTTCTGTCCTGATGCTTTTCCATACATTAATTAAATTTGTGTTTTTGTTCTAAACTGAAAGGCAGTATAATTTCACAGCACAGAGTGATGAACACTGGGACCCTTCCCAAAGTCCTTCAACTTTTTTTTATGCAAACGAAGCTGGCCCTGGAATAGGACCATGTCTAGGCAGGAGCATCGGGGTGCCCTGCAGTGGGCAGCATGCTGGCTCGCTCGCACGTGTGGCTGACGGTGGCTGGCTTCTAGCTGCACTGGCTGAGCAGTGGAAGACTAAGATAACTTTGTAGATCCTGCTTTTTAACCAAGGTGCAATACTCTCTATGTGGATGTAGCTATACCCCAGTGTTTGCTCAAGTTCTGACTCTATTTCTAGTTTCTCTGAGCTAACAAATGAATGATAGACAAAGAAGTGTACAGATATATCCATTTTGTGTTTCTGTCTGCGCTGTGATGAATTATCTGCTTCTGCACTCTCTGTGTGGTTCTGTCAACTTACTGGGGCACACAGCCCTGGACCCAAAGCCCTAAAGCTTTCCTGTTCAGAAGGGATCCCTGTGGGGTATATAGTGCTCATTTCCTTCCTTGACGTTTTTAAGAATTTTCTATGTAGAAACAATTTTATCATTGCTTTGTAAATATATGTGCATAGAAACACACAGCTGTATTTGTGCTTTTAAAATTTTTACTTATTTTTAGGTTTTACGATAGGTTGTGTGAGCTTGCAGGAGAGAGACAGAGAGGGAAAGTGAGAAATCACACACACACACACACACACACACACACCCGCCAGGGAGATGGCCATGCTGCAGTCCCTTGTCTTCCATTCTCCTTCTAGAATTTTGAATACTCATGCACATGTTCCTGACATGGTTTTCAGACTTGAACCATGTTCAGCCATATGGGAGTCCAGTACCTTAACTATTATGCCACCTGCTCTTCCCCTATGCTTGTTCTGTTCTTTTCTCTTTTCTTTTCTCTTTTCTTTTTTTTTTTTTTTTTCTTTTCTTTTCTTTTCTTTCTTTCTTTCTTTCTTTCTTTCTTTCTTTCTTTCTTTCTTTCTTTCTTTCTTTCTTTCTTAAGATAGAGTTATTTATTTATTCATTTATTTACTTCTATTTATTACTATTTTTTCATTTGACCAGAGAGAGAGAGAGAGAGAGAGAGAGAGAGTAAGCAAGCCACCAGGTCCAGAACTCACACCGTGGTCAGACATGTGGGGATCCAGCGCCTTTAACTACTGTGCCACCTGCTGCCCCCCCTATGCTTGTTCTTAAAAAATTAAGTTGTATAAAAGAAAGAGATTCCTTCCTACTTTTCAGCCTTGTCCCACTCACTTTTGGGGGCAGGCACTGAAGAGGCAGAAATAGGCATTAAGATAGCAAGTGGCCTGGTATTTAAGCTTTAGGAACCACCTTCATCTTTGAGCAGTTGCTTTTCTTCTCCTCTGCCACATTGTTCTTGTAAAAATCTGCTAATGCCACTTGTGTGGTCAGGCATGGCAATCATCTTGATAGGCAGTTGACAGCCAGTCACTGTTCACCGAGCTGGCCACTAAACGGGAGTGGGATGGATAGGGCACTGCCGGGTGAGTGTAGGAGAAAGAACCAAATGGACCATGGAGGGGATCCCCAGGATGAGCTGCATGGAGAATCCACTTCTGAGTCTGGGAGTAGAAAGACCAGAGTTGAGCCAGCAGGTGGTGTGGAGGTTAAGACCCTAGATCCTGCATGGCCAACTGTGCAGTTCAAGTCTTGGATCCTGTACTTGAAAATCATGTGGGTGCCTCGCGTGCATGCACCAAATCCTGGGGAGACTGGAGAAGAAGGGATTGCAATGTGGCCATAACCCCAGGAGGATGATTTCACACTTTCTCTTTCTCATCTCTCTCTTTCTCTCTGGTGGGTGCACACACCCTATATCAAAAAGTAAAATGAAAAATAAACAGAAAGACCAGGGGTTTTGTAATCTAGAGCTGCTTGCATGTTTTCCCATTTGAGCTCACTACGAAGTGAGCTACACTATTCTGATTTTGAGGAATAGTACTGAGAAAACTAGGGCTCAGAGCGTATAATTGTAATTCACTAAACCTATTAATTGGTGGAGCTGGGATTTGAATTCAGATTTTCCTAAATGCTAAACTACTGCTGCTCTTTTAGCAGGGTTTCATCTAGAGGAGGGGAAAGAATGTTTTGAGCAGACAGACGGCTTCATGCCAGCACACGGTCACCCCTCACATTCCTTGGAGTTGGGCGTGCAGCCCTTCTTAAGAGCCCTTTACTCAGCATCTACATTTGAAATTTGAGCCTTTTGTCAACATGGGATTAATTTGGAATCAATGCTATGGGAGTTATCAGTGACATGACCTGGGCTGCAGAGCTTCTGTGTCCCCACCTGAGGGCATTGGAACAGTCAGGGAGAATTAGGCTGGCCTGTCACCTGCTTCCCGGAAATGCTGCTCCCTTCACTCCTCCTGGGCATTGTGTCCTGAAGAGGCTTTCCTTAACTTTCCTAACCAGCCAGTCCCAGCGTGGCACTCAGATTTATAGGTCCAATGGGCCAGCGGCCCCCCTTCTCTGTCTACCCTCCCTTGCTTGTTCTGGAGTCAGACAGCACACACTGTTTAGGAAGAGAAGGCACAAACATCTTCACTGACGTCATCGGGGGGTCAGGCTGATAGCTGTGGTCTTCTTGGCTCCCACATTAACCAGTGAGATAAACCCGATGAGAAAGTTGAGGTCATCCCAAAAGACAACCAGGGTGACTTCTGGGTGGGGGTGGGGTGGCAGGAAGTATCCAAGCTTATAGGAGTTGCTCTGCCTGAGCAGGTGGAGGTAGCAGATCTCATGGAGGAGGCGGCGATGACTCACCATCCCAAGGCCCATCTTTGCAGGCCTCCCCCACCGCTTGCACTTCTTCACATGCTCAGTAGCCAAAGGGTTAGACAGGGGCTTCAGGTCCTCCTATGAAGACCATTTCCTTTTCTTCTTGCCGAGTTTGAAAAAGTGGCTTTTTTACACCCAGGGCCACCACCAGATATGGCTTCTCTGTGAGCGTTCTTGCATGTAAGCCTGCCTTTCACTCCCGGGACAGAGTGTAGCAGGATTCTTTAGGCTAATAGTGTTCTAGTCTTCTTAAGCAGCAGAACTTGTGTGTGTGTTTTTTTGTTTTTGGTTTGTTCTTGGTTTTTAGTTCACTACAGCACATGTGTGCGTACTAGAGAGAGACTTACTAGAGAGAGAAAGTGAGAACACAATCCCAAGGGGAGGATGGCCATATTGTAGTCCCTTCTCTATTCTCCACTCAGGACTTGGGGCAAGCATGCACATGTACTCAGTGTGACCTTCCAAGCTGCTGGGTTTGGAACTTGAACTACACAGTCAGCCATGTGGGGTTCAGCCACCTTAGCCACCATGCCACCTGGCTGGCCCAGAATTTACCTTTTCATTGACACTCACCCTCTTGCATCTTTAGCAGCAGCCTCTTGGGCTGTTTCATTGAATAAGGTTTGAAAAACCACACTACTTCAGGCAGAAGGCAAAGGAGGTGACTCCCTTTCAGTCTTTACAGGACAGCCCCTGGGGCCCATATGCAGCTCTTGGTTCTGAGTTCTGTGACCTGTTGAACCATGTTCCTCGGGTGAGGGGCGGGGGGGACCAGACTTCAGGAGAGAGTGGCCATTCTCATGTCACATTGGCAGAGCCTAACCACAACAGGTGCTGCCTTAAAAAATCTGTTAGGGTAACTTCTGTTAAAAGAAAAATAAACCAACCAGTTTAATTGAGCAGAGTTTTAATAAAGAAAATCTCAACACAGTTTAAATTGGGCAGTTGTCTCTGGACTTTCAGACAACTCCTCATGGTCAGTTTGCCATTTAAGTCAGCAGAACAGAAAGTGTTGTACAAAATCTTAAGTGAGGAGAATGAGGTAGAGAAGTCATTGGTTACTTCAGTCTCTTCAAGCCAAGAAAAACCTAAGTGGGAAATAATTTATCTAGGCGTTGGCTC